ACTCGGACTTCGAGCCGTTGCCCACAGCTCAGTCTTTATTAAGTTGACAACGGGTCAGTCTTTATCGTTCTCAGAGTATCCACTGTGCTGGCCTGCTTCTCTGAAATGTCTGTTCCCAAAGAATTGTTAAAATTTTTTAAAAAACTTATTAGCACATTTTTAATTTCATTTTCTGCAAAACAAATTTGTCAGTATGGTTTGGGGCCAGAACAGACTGTGTTGTTGTGTAACTGCCTCTTTGATTGTTGTTTGATCTTCTGGATCCAATACCATTCCTCCCTGTTTGTTTTCCTGATGGGCTGCTATTAAGCCCAGGAGCCCCCCTCATGTACCTGTGATATAATTCTGTGCAGAGATTGCCCGGCTGGCATCAAGCAAGCTAGCTCAGAGCCCTGGGCAGCATGCTGGTGCTGTACATCTGTACATCTGTACTCACATCTGGATTAGCATGTCTGTGTGACGCCATACTGATTTACCAGCTTTTTTGGAGATGCAGCCGGTACTCTTACGAGAGCACTGCATTGTGCTGTGCAGGTGTGCCTCAGTACAGTGGCATAAAAGGTCTAAATGTCCACCACACTTACACGGTGCCTTTGACTCACTGGTGAGGCCACCTTCACTATTCATGTCATTGTACGGGATATAATCTGAGTGTTGTGTAGCAGTTCCTAATTTAGCCAAGTCCCTACAGAACAGTACTGAGACATGGAGAGAGTTGCAAAGCAAATCCTCTCCAGCACTAGGTTACACAAACGCCATTCCAACAGCAGCAAACTGATAAATGAAGTAATTTTCTGCAGCATTGATTGTTATTTTAGATAATTACACTCCAAAAATAATATTTTATGAATATTCTTTGTTTCTGGTGATGCAGTTATATTTTAGGTGAATATATGTATTAATATACACAACAACTACTCCAATATGCTCTTTTTTTCCGATACTCTCTGTTTTTATTTTCCAGCCTCTTCCTTCGAAAGCCTTTCTGTATAGTTAGTGGTTAGCAGTGCTTAATAGCAGTACCCCTTGCCAGCATTTACAAAATCCCTTTTTCCTTAGACGTCAATGACATCAGTGGAAAGCTAGCCTACTGTCTTCCTCTTCATATAATTTTCTTTCCTGGCTTCTTCTGATCACATTTTTATTCAGCAATAAACATAGCACAATGGGACATTTTTCATCTCCTGTTTCTCCTCCCATAGTACCTAATTTGTATAATGATTTGTAAAGCATTGCAGCATTCTACAGCTTTCTCTTCTAAAATGCCCATTTACTAAACAATTTTAATTAAGAAGTTACTCATCTGATCCCTCTTTCCATACTCCTAAACAGAAGAGGTGGATTTTAAAAATTAAACCTGCCATGCTACAAAGTATATTTGAATTAATCATAGACAGAATTATAACCTGACGGCAGAGCATAATTGGCTTCACAAAGAGTATACAGAGGTATATTAATAAAGTATATGAAAACTCTATAAATATTCATTAGCTTTCAAGAACATAGAGAATGATTAAAAATTAATTCTATGAATGGCATCAGGGATAAAAACAGTAGCATACCACTTAGGACTGCATGAGACTCACTTTGGCTTCTCTGCCCATTTTGGAAGTTTTATTGCTGGAATCCTGGGACTTTAAATTTTTGTAATTTAAAATGTGAGAAACACAGGTGGAATGTAGTCGGACAGGAGGTGAGGTTTGTGGCTAACATTTTGAGATGGAATTTCTAAAGGGAATTAGACACTGCTGTTTGGTTTGGTATTAGGTGTGTAACGCTTCCTAAAATCTCCTTTAAAGTGTATTTTTCATAGATATTATCATAGGATCATTTGGGTTGGAAGGCAACCTTAAAGATCATCTGTTTCCAACCCCCCTGCCATGGGCACAGGGACACCTTCTACTAGACCAGATTGCTCAAAGACCCATCCAACTGCACAAAAGCTAACACATGTCATAAATTATATGTAATTTTTCTTCTAGATGCCTCCCATTGAGTATCTCCTTTGAGTGAAACAATGTTGGCGGGTTTCCTTCCTTTTGAATATCCAGATTTTGGCAGTTCTGACAGTTGAGCAGATTTGGAGTAATTTGTATCTTCTTTGTGTCCCAAAAAAGCCTTCCACTAAGGAATGAAAATAATTTTTACCTCTCTTCTCCTGACCTGTTCTCCAAAAATGGATTAACTTAATCTATCTAAATATTTCCAACCCATTGGGCAACATCTTTTTTGTTTGAGCTCGTCAATAAAGTAGGTTTAAAAAGTCACTATTTCTTGTGTTCATTTCAGAAAAGTTTTTTTCTGTTCTAAGTTAAACTACATTTTAGGCATTTGGCACTTCCAGAATAAATTCTTTCCTCTTCTTTTATCAGCTCTAAGAAGGAAACTAAGTCCTGAGTCACTGAAATAGCCCAACAGACCAGCTGAAATCGAAAGCATTGCATGTAACTGAAATAAACACATTGTGTATATAACGAAGTACAACCTCATATAGTCAGGACAGCAAACCAGTCCCTTGGTAATTGGTTGAGCCAATGTGTGTGAATTTAGACAATTATTTTGGAGTAGGACTGTAAGGGCTAATTTATGGAGGTTAAGTTCTCTCTCTAGTCAAAGAAAAGAGAGAGGCACCTCTAGGAGCACTGTACAGACGAGGAACAAGCATTGGTGAAAGCCATGCTAAGCCCTTGAAACCAACTGCTCGGTTTAATAAGAAAAGCTCATTTTCTCTTTTTCAGATGGTCATTTGGAGTTCTGCTATGGGAGATTGTAACTTTAGGAGGCAATCCCTACCCAGGCATTGCTCCTGAAAGACTCTTTAACCTCCTAAAAACAGGCTATAGAATGGAGAGACCAGAAAACTGCAGTGAAGAAATGTAAGTAGCTCTTGATCTTATTAGATTCATGAAACAACTCTTGAATAAACACATTTTAAAAAAAGGTTAAAATCAATACCACATAAATACCAGTCTGAAATACCAGTCTGTGTATCTCACAGGTGTAATCAAAATATGTAATGCTCAAAAGAATGTAATGAAATAAGTGAACAGTGAAGTGCAGGAAAAGAATTGCCAACAGAATGCTTGCAGCTACATCCAAAATATCTGTAGGATATTGAATAACATACTTGAGGGTGGGAGGAGGTAAACACAGTGGTAGCTCACACATTCAAGAAAAAGTTTCCTTACTTTTCTGCAAATGAGAGAGGTATTCCATCCACAGTCATTGCCTATTAGTTGTCCTGACATTACATAGGAGAAAGGATGCCTTGACCCAGAAATCTGTACCCTGGAAGACACAAATCTTCTGTGACTTGATTAAGCCCAAGCAATTTCTTTGTGTCTGGAGACAGTTCATATTTTATTGGCGGATTTATTAAAACACTCTCAGTGTGAAATATCTTCTCTCTGTGGTTCTTCCATGGCATGTGGACATGAGGCATGATTTTATGTTCAGCCTGCAAATCTGGTCATGGTCAAGGTTGTGTTTTGGTGTGGTGGTTGTTTTTTAGAAAGTTACCAGGCAATAATCACTATAACATCTCTTCTGCCTGATTTTAAATATGAAGGATGCTTCACATTGAAGGGCTGAGAAAATACAGTATAAAGATTGTTCATGGGTTTTTTTCATACTATATATAGAAAAAAAAAATCAAGGGTTTCTGAATTTAGGCAATTTACAAGTATCATGGGCAAACATCCTCTAGCAAACAATTTTTTTATTTGCTTCATCTCAACAGGGATTAAGACTTCATTCCTCAAACACATGTTATATCATTGATAATTATTAGGTTATGCAAGCTGCATTATGGTTTTCTGACTGGTTTACATTTTTCTGTTTTACTCAGAAATTTTTCTGACAACCTTTGAGAGACCACTTTATGGACCATTTTTTCTTATATTGCATTCTCCACTTTACCCAGTCGAGCAAGAGAGAGATCATGGCTGAAGCCAAAAAAAAATGCCGTGCTTTAAAATAGCTTGCTGTAGTTCTTGTAGCCAGCTGTTTCCACAATAACAGCACTTTTGTGACTAGATTACTTAGTCCTGAAAACGCTTGAGCTAGAAAAATAGCATGAACAGCACAGGCTGGAGAACTACAGATCCAGAACTTAGCCAATGTCTGTCTGACAGTCACTCAACCATAAAACTTTAGTTCCCTTTCACTTTCATGCTGCATACTACAGAAGGCAGTAAAGGACAGAATAAGAGTAATCAAGATTACAATATTAGAAATAATCAAAAGAATGTTAGTTTGTGCAGATAGTCTCACGTTAGGTTTCAGTTTGAAGAAAAGGTTACACAAACTTTTCAGAATTTTAAAAAAGAAGAATAAAATTCTATTTCAACAGCAGGTTTTCAGGTTAAGAGATGCGTATCAGTGAGACACAATTTCTTCAGGGTCATATGTGAACAAAATCAGTTGGAAATCTAGCATGCTGCCTACACATGAGGTGGTCCTTTGCGAAAGTGAAGATAATGAAAGAAACAGCCAAGCGTGTTGTCATTTAAACTCGTGAAGACTCATGAAAATAAAGGCCCATTCTTGTCAATGTCAGTTCCTGATTCAAGGACATGTTTCACAGAACACACACAAGATTGGATGTACTCGTGAATGGCCTTCATGCCCCTGTTCAACTTCAGTATGATAAATTATTTGAGCAGAAGCACGACCCACTTCTAACAATTTTCTTTTTCACCTTGCGGTGGGTCACAGGTACAACCTGATGTTGCGCTGTTGGAAGCAAGAACCTGATAAAAGACCAACTTTTGCTGAGATCAGCAAGGAACTAGAGAAAATGATGGTGAAGAGTAGGGTGAGTGTGGGAAAGCATGAGTTTTTGAAAGTTTTGGTGACCAGCTGTGTTTGAATATACAGAAATAATGATGTATTTAAAAACAAAAAAAAAGTACTTTTCATCAGTTTTTGAAGTATTTAAATATCTAGTTTCTTCTGAATGATCCAGCTTTCTGAAAGCAGTACTACTTCATATGGGTAGTGGCTTTGCTGACTTCAACCCTGAATGCAGATGAGTTATCCTGAGTCTGTCTAGCTACCTTAAATAAAATATTAAAAAACACAAAATTGTGAAAAGTTATGCTTAAATCACACTCCTCAATAAATAACCCTAGGAAGCCTAGAACTAGAAGAATGCAGTATTTCCTACTTAGTTATACGATGACAGTAACAGAGGTAAAAAAGCCGATGATTCCACCATTCTGAGTTACTTCAAAACTATTACAAACCTGGATAGACTTTCTTGGAAAGAACGGCTGCCGAGGTCTAAAACTTAAGTCCAAGTTGCATGTACTTGTAAAATGGGTACATACATACTTGCAAATAAACACATAACTTTTTTTTTTTTTTTAAAAAACCCACTGGTAATGGGAAGGGTGGCAGTTAGAAATGAAAAACAGAGGAAATATAGGTCACCATTATCAGATTTGAGCATGTGATGGCATTTACATTGGGTGCAAGAAGGACTAATAACCAAATAGGAACTATTTTGTTCAGAATGTGAATGTAAAAATAAGTTCTAAGTTAAAAATGTCAAAGTGAAAGGTCTAGGCTGTAAATCACCCTGACTTGACAATCATAACTTACAGCTGCTGAGTATCAGTCTGCAAATGATCTCCATGTCCAGTGACAGACCTGAATTACAGGGGCTGGCAAGTTTTCTGAAATGTTCATAGTGATAAAAACCAAAGCCAAACCAAAGCAGAGCTCGACAAATTAGTAATTGTTCTTCTTGCCTTTCTGAAGGAAAAATTCTGAAGATTTTTCAATTTATAAAATTAGGTAATTATACCTTTTTAAAATGAAATTTCAGTAAACTTCCAAAGGAAATACCATTTTGCCAGGAAAAAATATATTTTAGATTAGTTGAAAACACTTCATGGGGTTTTTTTGCATCAAAGCAATACAGCAGCATAGATAAAAACCTATGAAGTCTTACGGTTGACCTAAAAATTGAGTTTTGGAACAGCAGCAGCAAAAGCTTTATTTTGCAATATTTACACATCTAATTTTATACCCTGTTATGTAATAGCTTTTGTAAAATGGTGAGATCTGAGTACCTTCTCCTTGAAGCATGAATAATTTATATGTTTCAGGCATACATATATATATAAGGCATAACAGAAACTGGATGTGCAACAAATCAGTCAACACAGCCCATTATCTTACTCGTATGCAGAATTAAGTAAGGGAAGTATTAACCTGTCTAGTGTTCTGGTAAATCAGATACTTCCAAAGATGCTGTGGTTGCAGAAGGGGAGAGCATATGCAGGTGCTAGAGGAACTGTCAAAAGACAAATGCAGCGAGGTCTGTAGTTAAGAAGCCAGATGCACGTTTAGCCTTTACATCCAACCAGCAACGCTGCCGTGTACACTAACCCAGCTTTTTCTGTGTTCGCTTCCTAGGACTACTTAGATCTTGCGGCTTCTACGCCTTCCGATTCCTTGCTTTACGATGATGGGCTCTCAGAAGAGGAGACACCACTCGTGGACTGTAATAATGCTCCCCTCCCTCGAACCCTCCCTTCCACATGGATTGAAAACAAACTCTATGGTAGAATTTCACATGCATTTACTAGATTCTAGCAACACCAAAAAAAATTTTCTTCTGCACTGTTCTCAGGCTCTGTAACCCCATTACAGTGTTTCTTGTCTAAATGAAGCCAATCAAAATTTGAATGGAAGCTTCTTTTGGGTTTTTTTGGTTTGTTTCTTTTTTTCTTTTGGTAAATGTCAAAGTTTGAGTCAGGATCATCCTTTAGTCATTTTGCAGCTATGTTTAAAATAAACATTTTTAAAAGGATGTGAAAATAAGTAAAATGACTAGATATCATTCAGTAAAAGAAAAAAAGATCAGGGAAGTATTCTCAGGGGAAATATAAAATGCTGATGAGTATCTAATTCAACTATCCTGTTGGGAGGCTAGGAACATTTAAAGTATGTTAGATTCTGCACTTCTAATTTAAGCAATAGACTTTTTTTTTAAAATACTATTTTTTGCCATAGCTCGATGATAGAACCCATCTGTGACATTTTTTGTTTATCAAGGTGGATTTCTAAATTTCAGCTGCTGTTAATGCATTCTGGATCCATACGCTGAAATGGCTATTTAATGTATCATAGAAGGAAACCTGAGTATTATATACAGGAGGTAGAAGTACTGTATATAAGTATTATAAACAGACTAAATCAACATGTAAAGTCCTTTGAAAATTGAATTAACAGTGGGAATTTTGAAAATACATTCAGCTGTTTTCACGTCCTTTGATTTATTATGAAAATGTCAGTACTAAACCTTGATTGAATGATGTAGCAAGTGTTTTTAAAAGGAACATATGCTTTCATATTGTGATGGTGAGATGGACAGTAAAAATGGTTCTTGCCAAAACTCCTACATTTTGTCTCCTGATTAAATATCCTACATGTTTTTAGGTATTCACTAACATCACAGATATTTTTTTCATTCTTCAAGTAGTATGACTTTTGAAAAGTTGGATCTTTTTGCTTAAAAGTTGCCATTAATACATGGCTTTGGGTCTATTTTTGATCTATACCCTAGCTATAATTTTCCTTAATAGGTTCCCTCAATGCACGTTCACTTTGGGGCACTTAGTGGCCAGATCGTTAAGAGAATGCAGCAACAGAAAAAGTTGCCACCGTGTTTGATGGCAGATGCTGAATGAGCAACAAAACCATATTTCTGGTTTTGAAAATCTTGACCCCCGTACGGTTCTCTGCACAGCTGGATCAACATGGTGCTAAGCACTCTGCTTCCATTTTGGTGATCCCTTGTGCCTAAACTGAGAAGCAGTTATTGGACTCGACGCAAATAATTACGTGCCTGAAATACACGTTTAAACGCTGAATCAAGACAAGAGTGCTCAGGACTTTGTTGGACCTTACTCAGTTGTGCACCTGGGATTTCCTAAAATTAAGCAGGGTATCCCTGGTAAGAGTGTGAGAGTGTCCCCAAAACCTCACTGAAGCCAAAGGAAAGGCACCTGTTTAAGAAAACGGAAATACTCTCAGTCATTGCAATGGACTTTGGATCCTGTCCCAAATAGGTTTATTAATCCTTGGAGCACTTCCTGTATAGCAAGAACTTCCTCTTGCAAAGCAATATATTGCTACATTATTGTTAAAAAAGAAAATTATGGAAAATTGAGGCTCATCAGAAGAGAAATTAGCCTTTTATTATGCACGTATGTGTGAATGCGCACTTTTTTATCAAGTAAGCACTTTATTTTTTCTGTGTTTTTGCCTACATCTGAATTTGTGCTTCAGGGATTTCAAAACATCGTTTACGTGAATTGATTTGGGACAAAATCCAGTGGACTGGCTTAAAATACTGAAGGGAGTTTTGCCAAGGGCCTTACTGTCTGCACATGAAGTTATGGTTCTTCAGTGCAGAAAAAATTATCTGTTTTCATTTTTAGGCATGTCATACCCGAACTGGCCTGAGGAGAGCCCCGTCCCACTCACAAGATTCGATGGCACTAACTCTGTGTTTTCAAGATATGCAAATGATAGTGTATATGCTAACTGGATGGTTTCACACTCAGCGGCAAAATTTATGGACAAGTTTGATAGCTAAAAATTTTCTTTGTGAAAGGTAATGGACTCCTGAGGGGAACAGAGATGCAAAGAACGACAAGTCCATTGGCTCGTTCTTTGTACAACCAACAACCTACTTTTAAATTGGCAAACCCTTTTATTGGAGGTTTCTAAAGTGTGTTTCATGCTGAAGACTGTAATTGGTGATTTCCCCTTTCAGAAAACATATCAAGCTGGATAAGAGTTGTAGTTCCAGTACTTTGTTCCAGATTGCCATTTTGCATGTGGTTCCATTTGGCAACTTTTTAATGCAAATGGCCTCACGCTTCGTTCTCGCTGGTTCTTAGACTAACCATCCTATGTTACAGCGTTCTTGGATGGCAAGATGTACTTGAACTGCGACTTTTATAGTGGCTGTCAGCATACAACCACTTGATCTAAGTAGGAAGCACAAACAATATATGGATGGGAGGGGGGAAAGGCTCCCACATTACTGAGCTTGCTATCAAATAAGAAGTGTTACGATGATGTTGGTCCTAACAAAGCCTGTATCTTGGTTTGGAAGCAAACATTAAGTAACTCAATAGAGGACTTGAAATTCAACATTTGAAGTCTTGTAAAACGTATTGTCTTATCTTAATGAGAAGTGAGTTTGTTTTATTAGTCTCAACTTCTCTTACCTTTAGCACAATGGAGATAAATTTGATACGAGGAGCTGCATAGACTGATGGCAATCAAGAGCGTTCATATGACACAATTTACTTTCCATCACCTACATCTTACTAATGTTAAAAAGTACAATCTTGTACAATCATAATTGTTCTTATGAGTTCAAAATACACTGTACAGGATTTTTAGATTGAATTCAAGTAAAGGGATTTTGTTTGCAGTCATGTTCAGTGTGTTGGAGACCTCCTCTCAGATCCAAATTGGATACACTGCCATGCACAGGACACTGCCACGATATAACTCCAAATAAACCTATTACCTTGAAAGTCATGAGTACGCAACACTTGCACAGCTAAATTGGTCTGAAACTCTACCGTTAATGAAACTATACAAGGAAAATGTCATCGGAATTTCTTAAGGTGAAATATAAAATTGTGCTTAAAACATTGACTTCTTGATATTTGGGAGAATGATCAGACTGTGGGTTGTCTTCTGTGTGGAAGAGTAAATAATCAGCACTACTTTTGTCTTTATTTGTAATCTAATATGGTTAAAGATAACTTTTTGTTTGCTACAAATGTTGGGATGTAAATCCTGAGTGACTCATTGTTAGCATTGTGATGGTTATTCTAAATAGTCCAGTTCTACCAAAGCTTGCTCCTGTCACTTACAATCCAATTTAGCTGTTTTCAGATGTTGTTTTGTGTGTCGACTTCATGTTTCCATTAAAGTCTGTGATTTCAGAAACAAAAGAGTCAGACTGCCAAAACCCAAACACAGATTTTCATTTTACAAAAAATGGGATATAATGTGCTGTGTTTAAATTCCAACACCTTCACAGTTGGATATCATACTTGATCCTGTCCTGGTTTTGGACAAGCACTAAGCAGAGTGACTTTTTCTTTGTACAAACATTTTCCATGTTGTGTAATGCTTATATACAGTAAACAAACATAGCTATATCTACAGAAGGGGTTCGGTTGTGATATAATGTTGATCTTCACTGGCATGAAACAACTGTCAGAATGCATACATAAATGGCAGTAAAAATTTAGCCCATTATATGGGCTTATTTTTCTATTGAGACATCTGTGGAAAAAAGGAGAGAAAAATGGCACTTGTGGTGTGCCTGCTTTGTCCTGTCCTTTTCCTATAATTTCTGTCTCTAAATGGGAATTCTTTATTTGCCATGAGCAATCAAGGCATCAAGATTTTTGTTTATTTTTTTTTTTATTCTTCCTTAAATTAGAAATTTCTTTTTATCAGCTATCTTCAGCAACAGTATTCAACTGGGAGATGTGAAGTGCCCAGTTTCTAACCCGAAAAGCCTTGCGACACTTTGCTGTACAGTAGGTGAGTGGGATAGTAAGCAATGCTGAGATAACAGGTGGATGCAGAAAGTATTGTGTGTTTTAGACCAGCATGGCTCAATGTTGTTTCAATCATTAATTCCTGGGAAAAATTTCACTAATAGTTATTGTCATCTATGCTACTGGACATATAAAATACATCAAAAGTTCATCATTACAGTTGCCATACACAGTTACCTGCATTAAGTGCAGCTTAATGAAAAATTCTTAACAAGTGTTTCCGAATACAACTGATTTTGACTCCCTGCTCATGAACATTGGTAAGAAATAGATTATTACTTTCAAGTATTTGTTCATTATGTGAAAGCTTCTTATGTCTTCTGTGTACGCTATTTTTGTAAATATTTCCCTTGAAGTGTCTCCTATCCATTCTGTGTCAGAATGGTGACAATCTTGTTCCAGTTCACCAGTAGAGAGTAAATGTACTTCCCGTGTGGGAGTATAGTGATACTGCAGATGATTATTTCCATCGGTGCCAGATGGAAAATACTTGGCTGCACTGAGGAAAGTGAATTTGAAAGAAACAAATAACTCACCTAAATGTACAGGTTGGAGGGAATAACTTTCTAAAAATATCTGCCAGCTTTTTCTAAATATCTGCAGAGATTACATTGGTTTACCTGATCTGTGGTTTGAGTTGTGACAGATGGGGGAGAGGGTGAATCTCGTGTTCTTCCAGTCATTACAGCAGCACAAGGAAGTTACTGTAATATCCATTTCTACAAGCTTTTCCAGAGGTGTACTGAGAAAATCTACTGTGAGGTTGCAGATTTTAATCTGTTGGCATTCACCTTTTTCATATAATAGAAATTTAAAAAAAGATCTTGTCCTGTGAATGTGAGGTACTTAATATTTCAGTCGTGGTTTTAGCTACAATTTGTCATGCAAAATGTGCATGAATATGGTACACTCAACTGGACCTAATTCCCCAAACATACAGTAAAAGCAAATCTATATTCCTTGATGTTTTATAATCAGTCTTATATGAATAAT